GACAGAGTCTTGCTCTGTCACCCAGACTGGAGTACAGAGGCCAGATCTTGGCTCACTGCAACCTCCACCTCTCAGGTTCAAGTGATTCTCCTGCCTCAGCCTCCCAAGTAGCTGAGATTACAGGCTCCTGCCACCAGGCCCAGCTAATAATGTTTTTGTATCTTTAGTAGAGATGGGGTTTCACCATTTTGGCCAGGCTGGTCTTGAACTCCTGAGCTCAGGTGATCTGCTGGCCTCAGCCTCCCAAAGTGCTGGGATTATAGGCATGAGCCACTGCCCGACCAGAATTTGGAGCTTATCTATCGTCTTAACCAGAAAGATAAGGTATGGAGGAAAGATTAGACCAAGGAAAGAGGGCTTGAGGTTTCTTGCAGGGTCAAGTACATAAAATGACTATGGGGAGGTGAGTAGAAATTAGGAAATGTATGGTAAGTAAGGTTGTTTAGTAAGGTTTATTATACAGATAAGAGTTCCCAGCGACAAGAATTGTCTCCAGTAGTTCTCTTCCTCATATAGAAGAGAGAGACAACTTTACAAAAAAGGGACATGTATGCCCTGCTTTTAAGCAGAAGGGACCTTTTTCCTGTGTCAGCTATTTTCTAGTTATCTTCAGCTCAAAATAATCCTTATGCCAAAGTAGCATATTTTGGGTTGGTATACTCTAGTCCCCTTCAATACATACTAGGAAAAAACTCTTTGATAAGTTTTATAAATGTATGTTTACTTTGACTCATACCTGAAAATCTGGAATTAAAACCATAAGCTCCCTCTGTTTCCACGCTTATGTTTCTGTAATTCAGAAAGGGCTTTAAGTCTCACTTAATAATTCACCTCTCATTGGTATTAATAAATTGGGTTATAAAATCTCTGAAATTAAAGAAGCTCTATTTTGATTAGCTTATAGAGATAAATAAGTGCTTGTATTATGTTCCTAGAATTGCTAGAAAATAAGGAAATTGAACTTCTAATATTTTCAATGTAATTTTGATAGAAAGTAACACAAATGTTTTAATATTTCAAGTTTATATAACTTAGGTAAATCTTCAGCACCAAGACTAGTTAAATAATTTTGGTTTAATAAAAACAGCTACAGATTAGCTAGATAAATTCTGATTTATCAGCATTAAATATAATATAAGCTAGTATTTTTTTTTTTTTTACAGTCTTGCTCTATCTCAAGATGGAGTGCAATGGTGTGATCTCAGCTCACTACGACCTCCAACTCCCCAGTTCAAGCGATTCTCCTGCCTCAGCCTCCCAAGTAGTTGGGATTACAGGCACCCACCACCATGCCTGGCTAATTTTTGTATTTTTAGTAGAGACAGGATTTTGACATGTTGGTCAGGCTGGTCTCAAACTCCTGACCCCAGGTGATCCACCTGCCTCGGCCTGCCAAAGTGCTGGGATTACAGATGAGAGCCACCACGCTCAGCCTACAAGCTAGTATTTTAATTCTACTTGGGTATGTTCTTCTTAAACTTCAACAGGTTTATTGATTGAACAAGCTACCATTACTTCTACTTAAGATTATAGAAGTTATAAATTTGTGTTTCATTGATTCATTATTCTCATAATTTTGTTTGCCTTGGGTTACAGCTTGTGCAATGAGTCTGAAAGGCTATAAAATATGTCAAGTTTTGCTCAATTTTGACAGACTTGTTCCCTTGGTTACTGTTTATTGCCTTCATCTGTAATCTGAAGGGCTTTTTGTTTTTCTTGTGTAATCGAGCTAGATAGCAAAGATCCTGTGTTTTACTGGAATAACCTTCAGTGGTTTATGCTGACCTTACTATGTCCTTGATTATTTAAGAAAACAAAAGTTTCTCACTAGGAAAGATCTAAGGCTCTTTACACTTACGTTACCTTCTGCGTTTACTTTGTAAATCCTCATTGTCACTTAGAAATATGGAGCCAAATACTTTTGTTTTAGTTTTTCTTTTGTTTTGGGGTTTGTTTGTTTGTTTTTGAGACAGAGTCTCACTTTGTTGCCCAGACTGGAGAGAAAGGTCATAAGCCTGCTGCCAAAATCTTTTTCTTTTGAGATAGAGTTTCAATCTTGTCACCCAGGCTAGAGTGCCATGGTGGGATCTTGGCTCACTGCAACCTCCGCCTCCCGAGTTCAAGTGACTCTTCTGCCTCAGCCTCCCAAGTAGCTGGGATTACAGGCATGCGCCACCACACCTGGCTAATTTTTGTATTTTTAGTAAAGACAGGGTTTCACCCCATATTGGCCAGGCTGGTCTCAAACTCCTGACCTCAGGTGATCCACCTCCCTCAGTCTCCCAAAGTGCTGGAATTATAGGCATGAGCCACTGTACTCAGCCCCCAAACAGTTTTTTAGACACCTAGATCAGATTCCTCTCATAAGTGTTCAAATTGCCTGACAGTGTCTGGTTCTTGCCTCTCTAAAATGGAATTCTAAATATAAAATAAAATGAAGCTTTCAGGATTTTTTTTTCTACTAAAACTACTTTGAGATTTCCTTAGGGGCCCCCTGGAAAATCACAAAGACTTATTATTTAGCTTTTTAAAAAGAGAGGTGTTAGAAATGATTAGGTTTACTTGCTGGGCTACTATCAATGAGTCACACGAAAGACTTGTCAAATCAGAAGAGATGCTCAGCCTTCCCTGGGTTAAACTGGTATAGGTTAAGTGTTGTTGGTATATTTCAGAACGGTATGCTATACAGGAATTTCAGAGATTTGCAGTGTCCTTGCAGTCCATGACACATTTCTCCTTATTAGGGCCCTAGTGCTGCTTTGCCATAGTAGACGATGACACTACAGTGTTTTCACTCATTTCAGTTATTTTGTTTTAATAGAAATGAGGTCTCACTCTGTCACCCATGTTGGTCTCAAACTCCTGGGTTCAAGTGATCATCCTGCCTCAGCCTCCCAAAGTGATGGGATTGCAGGTGAGAGCCACTCTGCCTGGTCCAATTTCAGTTGTTTTCTAAGTGTTAACTTGATCACAGCTTTACTTACTTAATTTGAATCTAGTGTCTTCTAGGGTAGTGGTTTTCAATTGAGATTAACATCACTTATAGAATTTTACTAATAAACAGACATTTAAGATCTACTGAAGACCAAAGACTCTCTTTACTTAATATTCTTGACATATTTTTGTTAGATTCTTACTTGCCAAATTCACGTTATATTATGTTTCAGCATTATTATATCTCCAGATTTTTTTCTCTGTAAAGATTACGTTCACCCGTTTTTATAAATTAGATGTAATGTTCTCTTCTTTGTGTGTTTTTTTGTTTGTTTGTTTATTTATTTATTTTTTTTTGAGATGGAATTTGCTTTGTCACCTAGTCTGGAGTGCAGTGATGCGATCCCAGCTCACTGCAGCCTCCGAATCCCAGGTTCAAATGATTCTCCTGCCTCAGCCTTCTGAGTAGCTGGGATTACAGGTGTGTGTCACTATGCCTGGCTAATTTTTTTTGTAATTTTAGTAGAGACAGGGTTTCACCATGTTGGCTAGGCTGGTCTCAAACTCCTGACCTCAGGTGATCTGCCTGCCTCAGCCTCCCAAAGTGCTGGGATTACAGGAGTGAGCCACCGGACCTGGTCTGTCTTCTTTGAAAATAAGGCTAATCGTTACGTTTATAATTATTTTATCTAAAATTATTTTTGAATTTATTTTTTTTGGCATGCCACAGAAGCAACAAAATTTTCTTATCAGTTGCATTTTTATTGGAATAAATTCTTATCAGAATTTTTGCTTTTGAAAATTATGAGTAATAAATCAACCACAGTATTTTAAGCCTTTTGTCATCTACAGGTAGTTTTTTGTTTTACTCTAATGCTTCCTTGAAAATATTTCCTCTTCAACAAAGGACTGTTTCAGAGACCCATGGAAAAGGACCATGTTGGGTATTTTGGGGTATTTGCTGCTAATGGCATCACTTAAACAATTTTGAGACCATACCAGCAAACTGAGTAAGGATTTTCAGAACTCTAGGCAAGAAACAAATGGATTCATGAAAATGCTAACCCAAGATCCAATGAAACAAGAATTAATTATATAGGGCTAAATGAACTAATGAGGAATGATTGTAGTTTATTGTGGGTGGGGGGGAGACGGAATATTACTGATTTTTTTTCTTTTAACAAAATTATTTTTATTCTTCCTCAGCATCTCCAGCTGTGAGATTATTGATGTTTTAATATGCTATTTTCAGGATAGACACAAAAGCCTTTTCTTTTTCATTTTATCTATAACCCATAACAATTTAGTAGACTTTTTTTGTAAATGGAAATGAAACAATTGTAAATTTATCATATCCTCCCTGCCTAACCCCTCCAGAATCTGGAAACACTTAATGAATATTCTTCTTTTCATACCAATATAGTTATTTCCATAGATGCAATAAGGACACATCTGGGACTTAATTTTACTAGGACTTCATTGAAAACACTGGTTATATAATCAAGAGCTTGCCTGGAATGTCATATTTGAAAACTATATTTATTTGCTCGCATATCACCAAGTACTTTTAAGTAACTAAGGTTGTTTTATGGAGTCAAGGCTTACAAAACCATTAGGCACAGCGGTGTACACCTGTTGTCCCAGCTACTTGGGAGACTGAGGCAGGAGAATTGCTTCATCCCAAGAGTTCAAGACCAACCTAGGTAACATAGTGAGACCCTATCTTTAAAAGAAAAAAAAAGAAAAAGGCTTGTACAACCCTCTTGGGAAAAAAAAAAAAAAAAACGGCCGGGAACGTGGTTTCCAGGGTTTCCAGCCTTACTCTTTTTTCATTGAGTTTTTGGGTTTCATGAAGGCATCACAATATATCTTTTTTAAAACAACCCATAATTGGAAATTGAATCAAAATGTGCCACCTCCCTCATTCATACAAATGGATGGAAGAGAACAGAGCTCACGCAGCTGCCAGGCTCTATGCAGGGCACTTGGCACATACTCTGTAGGATCTTTTAAATTTTATTTTATTCTTTGTCCGTTTTCTTTTTTAGAACTTTTTTGAAAGTTCATGTCAGATGGGTAATGTGTCAACATCATAACAAGGTTTCAGGGAGGCACATCTCACACATGAGCGTGAAAGCCCAATTATCATGCTTATGAACTATAAAAAGATCACAGGATGCTTTTGTAAGTGCCTACCCAACAGACCTCCCCTCCTTCTGTGGTAAAGAAGTCCAGTGTTGAACTAGCAGCATTCATGTTTCCTCACAAGTGTCACAGAAGAAGACTTCCTCCCAAGTTTCCCCAGCAGGAAAACCTGATTGGTCTAAGATCTGCAGGGCGGCTCTAGTCCTCTTGCCAGTGATTAATTAGACAAAACTGTATAATATGGTTGGGAGGTGGGAGCAGAAGAAGAGATTCCAAAAGGAAAGGGTTCATGCTCTTAAAAAGAGCTATGTGATGCCTCTGATGAAGGCTGTGTTAGTAGAGACATCTGAGAATGCAGATGTATACCAATGACTCTCACAGAAAAAGAGAGAGAGAAACATGAGAAAAAGCACACTCTTTTTCTTGCAGCTACATGTGATGTCTGGAATTACAGCAGCCATTTTGTGATCATAAGAGCAGATGGCTTCGCAAAGGACAAAATTTGTCACACCAAACATGGCAGAGAAGAAAGAAGATTCTAGATTCTAGATAACATTTTTGAGCCACTGAACTAACCAAGACTGGAATTAGTCTTCCTCAGAAATTTTTAATATGTGGGATAGTGAATTTTCTCATTGAACTAAATTTTGAATGGAGTTTTCTGTTTCTTATAACAAAAGCATCCTACCTGCTACAAATATTTGATTTCAAGTCATCTTTACAACAGTCCTATATCTGTAGACATTCTCATTTTACAGATAAAAATCCGAAATTCAGAAAGTTTTAGTAACATGGCCAGGCACAGTGGCTCACACCTGTAATTTTAGCACTCTGGGAAGCCGAAGTGGGAGGACTGCTTAAGCCCAGGATTTTGAGACCAGCCTGGGAAACATACTGACACCCTTCTCTACAAAAGAAAAATTAGCTGGGCATGATGGCACATGCCTATAGTCTCAGCTACTCAAGAGGCTGAGGTGGGAGGATTGCTAGGGCCCAAGAGGTCAAGGCTGCAGTGAGCCATGATCCTGCCACTGCACTCCAGCCTATGCAACAGAGCAAAACCCTGTCTCAATAATAATGAATAAAAAATAACAATAATAATAATAATGGGTAGAACAACCACACAGAAGATAAGTAAGGAGACAGAGAACTTAAACAACATAGTAAACCAACTAGACCTAACAAACATATACAGAACACTTTACACAACAGCATATACATTCTTTTGAAGTGCATGAGACATTTTCCAGAACAGACTACATATTAGGCCACAAATTAAGTGTCAATACATTTTAAAAGATAAATATTATATAAAGCATCTTCTCTAACCACAATAGGATGAAGTTAGAAATCAGTAACAGAAGTAAAACTGAAAAATTCCCAAGTTTGTGGAAATTCAACAATGCATCAGTAATCAATAGACTGGTGCAATAGGTCAAGCCTGTAATTCCAGCACTTTGAGAGGCCAAGGTAAGTGAATCAATTGATCCCAGGAATTCAAGACCATCCTAGGCAACATAGTGAGACCCCACCTCTGTTTTTTAAAAATACAAAAAAAAAAAAAAATACAGTAAATAAATAAATAACCAAATGGATCAAAGAAAAAATTGCAACAAAAATTTAAGACTACAGAAAAACTAAGCCAACCAAAACTTACGGGACATAGCAAAAGTAGTGGTAAAAGGAAAAATTATAGCTCTAAATGTTTAAATTTAGAAACAAGAAAGATCTCAAGATCTCAAATCAACAACCTAACTTTACAAATTAAAAAAACTAGAAAAAAAAAGAGAACAAACTAAACCTAATGCTAGCAGAAGGAAGAGAATAACAAAGATTAGAACAGAGATTAATGAAACAGAAAATAGTAAAACAAAAGGGAAAATTAATAAAAAAAAAAGTTGACTCTTTGAAAAGACAAAAAATTTACAAACCTTTAGCTAGATGGACTAACAAAAAAGAGAAAAGACTCAAATTACTAAAATCAAAAATGAAAACAGAGACATTACTACCAGCTCAACAGAAATAAAAAAGATTGTAACAGAGTACCATGAACAATTGTATGTCAACAAATAGGATAACCTAGATAAAATGGAAAGATTATGAGAAACACAAAACCTACCAAGACTAAATCATGTAGAGACAGAAAATAGGAATAGACTGATGACTAGTAAGGAGACTGAATCAGTAATCAAACACCTTCCAACAATGAAAGGTTCTGGACCTGTTGGCTTCACTAATAAATTCTACCAAACATTTAAGCAATTAATACCAATCCTTCTCAAACTTTTCTTTAAAAATTAAAGAGGAGGAAACACTTTCTAAATCATTCTATGAGGCCAGCATTATCCTAGTATCAAATCCAAAAACACCAGAAGAAAAGAAAACTACAGCTCAATATCCCTAATGAACATGTGTGCAAAAATCCTCAGCAAAATATTAGCAAACTGAATTTAGCAGCATAGTAAAAGGATTACACACTATGAGCAAGTAGGATTTATTTCTGGAATGCAAGGACAGTTCAACACATGAAAATCAACTGGCCAAGCACAGTGGCTCATACCTGTAATCCCAAAACTTTGGGATACCAAGGTAGGAGAATCACTTGAATTCTGGCGTTCAGCCTGGACAACATAAAAAGACCCCATCTCTATAGAAGTTAAAAAATTAGATGGGCATGACCAGGCCCAGTAGCTCACACCTGTAACCCCAGCACTTTGGGAGGCTGAGGCAAGAGAATCACCTGAAGTCAGGAGTTTGAAATTGGCTTGGTCAACATGGTGAAACCCTGCCTCTACTAAAAATAAAAAATTAGCTCGGTGTGGCTGAGTGTGGTGGCTCATGCCTGTAATCCCAGCACTTTGGGAGGCTGAGGTGGGTGGATCACTTGAGGTCATGAGTTCAAGACCAGCCTGGCCAACATGGTGAAACCCCATCTCTATTAAAAATACAAAAAATTAGCCAAGTGTGATGGCAGGCACCCATAAACCCAGACTAGGGAGGCTGAGGCAGAACAACTGCTTGAACCTGAGAGGCAGAGGTTGCAGTGAGCCACAATCGTGCCACTGCACTTCAGCCTAGGCAAGTGAGTGAGACTCAAAAAAAAAAAAAAAAAAAAAAAAAATTAGCTGGGCATGGTAGCACACACGTGTAGTCCCAGCTGGTCAGTAGGCTGAGGTGGAAAGATGACTTAAGCCTGGGATGTTGAAGCTGTAGTGAGTTATGATTATGCCACTTCACTCCAACCTGGGCAACAAAGTGAGACCCTGTCTCAAAGAAAAGAAAAGAAAATCAATATAATACACTCCATTAACAGAATGAAAGGGGGAAAGAACTACATGATCATCTCCATTGATGCAGAAAAAACATTTGACAAAATTCACCACCTTTTCATGACAAAAGCACTCAACAAACCAAAAACAGAAAAAAGCTACCTCAACATGATAAAAGCCATATATAAAAAATCCAGAGCAAATATCATACTCAATGGTGAAAGTCAAAGAGCTTTTTTCCCTAAGATGAGGACTAAAACAAAAATGCCCATTTGCAGCCAGGTGCAGTGGCTCAGGCCTGTATTCCCAGCACAATGGGAAGCTAAGGCAGGTGGATCACCTGAGGTCAGAAGTTCAAGACCAGCCTGGCAAACATGGTGAAATGGGTCTCTACTAAAAATACAAAAATTAGCCAGGCATGATGGAATGCACCGCTAATCCCCAGCTACTACAGAGGCTGAGGCAGAAGAATCACTTGAACCCGGGAGACAGAGATTGCAGTGAGCCAAGATCACACAACTGTACTCTAGCCTGGGTGACAGAGTGAGACTCCATCTCAAAAAAAAAAAAAGACCATTCTCTCCACTTCTGTTCAACCTAGTACTAGAAGTTCTAACCAGAACAATTAGGCAAGAAGAAGAAATAAAAGACATCCAAGTCAGAAAGGAAGAGGTATAAATTATATCTGTTTGCAGATAATATGATCTTAAGTGTAAAAAAACTAAATATTCCACACCAAAAAACCTGTTAGAGCTCATAAATTAATTAGGCACAGTAGCAGGTTAAAAAGTCAACACATAGAAACCAATTGCATTTCTATACACTGACAATGAACAATCTGAAAAGAAAATTACAAAGCAATTTCATTTATAATAGCATAGAAACAAAAACTGGGAGTGAACTTAACCAAGAAGATGACAGACATGTACAATTAAAAACTACAAAACATTAATGAGAGAAAGTAACACATAAGTAAGGCCAGGGACAGTGGCTCATGCCTATAATCCCTGTACTTTAGGAGGCTGAAGCATGCAGATTGCCTGAGGTCAGGAGATCAAAACCAGCCTGACCAACATGGTGAAACCCCATCTCTACCAAAAATACAAAAATGTGCTGGATGTGGTGGAAGGCACCTGTAATCCCAGCTACTCAGGAGGCTGAGGCAGGAAAATCACTTTAATCCGTGAGGCGGAGGTTGCAGCGCGCCCAGATGGCTCCACTGTACATCAGCCAGGGTGACACAGTGAGACTCTGTCTCAAAAAAAAAAAAAAAAAAAGTCACAAGTAAATGAAAGCGTATCTCATATTCATAGATTGGAAGACTTGTATTGTTAAGATGTCAATACCACCCAAAGTGATCTACAAATTCAGTGCAATCCCTATCAAAATTCTTGTGAGGCTTTTGCAGAAATAGAAAATTCCATTCTAAAATTCATATGGAATCTGAAGGAACTTTGAATAGTCAAAATTAATTTTGAGGAAAAAAGAAAAGCTAGAGGACTCATACTTTCTGATTTCAAAACATACTACAAATCTGCAGTAACCAAAATAGCATAGTACTGGCATAAAGACAGATATATAGACCAGAGGAATAAAATGAAGAGCCCAGAAATAAACCCTCTCATATACAGTCAAATTATTTTTTACATAGGTGCCAATATGTAATTATTTTTTACATAGGTGCATCAAAAAACAATATTAACAGAGCAAAAAGGCAACCCACATAATGGAAGAAAATATTTGCACATTATATATCTGATAAGGGCTTAATATCTAAAATATATACAGAACTTTAAAGCTTAATAACAACAACAAACAACCTGATTTTTTAAATGGGCAAAAAGCCTGGGCACAGTAGCTCATGCCTGTAATCCCACCACTTTGGGAGGGATCACTTGAGGCTGGTGGATCACTTGAGCCCAGGAGTTCAAGAACAGCCTGAAGAATATGGAAAAACCCTGTCTCTACAAAAATAGAAAAATGAGCCAGGTGTGTTGGTGCCTGCCTATAGTCCCAGCTACCTGGGAAGCTGAGGTAGGAGGACTGCTTGAACCCAGGAGGTGAAGGCTACAATGAGCAGAGATCAAACCACTGCACTCCATCCTGAAGAACAGAATG